TAAAACAAAATTGAGATGTTTAGAAACTAAATTGAAAAAAATATTTGAAAAATATAAATCTTCGAGTAGATTATTGATATGCTTATTAATGAACTAAATATTTAAGTATAAAAGATTTATGGTATTAAAAAATATATATATTTTCTTACTTGATTATTGGATTCTATAATATGTAAATTAATTTATCTTTTTTACAAAAATTAAGTTTAAATTCTCCTTCTTTAAACAAAATTAAAAAAATTCATACCTAAAGTCAAATTTAGATGAATAACTTGTATTATGTTAAAATAAAATAATATAAAATAATTAAATAAATTCTTTTTTCTTCTATTATAATAGTATAAAACTTTAAAATTTATTTAACTTAGTTTTTAACTTGAGTTAAAGTCAAATAAGAAAATTATGTTGATTTAGTTTTTTCTTTTAAAAAAATAAAGAACAGAGATATAGAGTTAGCGATGATTATAAAAGTAATTCGTCGTTCTCATTTGCTTAATTTGAACATAACAAACTTTTTATTACAACCATAGAATCTGAGCTTCATCCTTCCAATTATTTATTTATTTATTATGTTTCCATTTTATTTAATATTTCAAGTTATATTTTTTAAGTTGAAATTTTTTAAATTAAAAACTATATTTATGGTTGATAAAGTTAAACATAACTGTAAATATTTGTACCATATTATTTTATTAATAAATTTTTTATATATCTAAATTAATAATTTAAATTTAAATTTAGCATAATTTGATTTTGGTATTTGAATTTAAATAAAATTATTTTATAAGAAATTTTGAGTAAATTTAAATAAAAGATAAATTAGGTAAGAGTTGAATAATTCAAAAGAATATGTAGTTGTAAATTGTGAAAGTTATAACTAAATCAATATATTTTGCTAATTTGAGCAATTTTAAATAAAAAGTAAATTGGGTAAGAGTTGAATAATTTTCAAAAAATGTATATTTGTAAATTGTAAAATTTGTAATCAAATCAACATATTTAGTCATTTTATATTATTTTATTTTAAGGTAATACAAGTTATTTTTCTAAATTTGACTTTAGGTATGAAATTTTTTTAATTTTTTTAATAAAAAGAGAATTCAAACTTAATTTTTGTGAAAAAAGATAAATTAATTTACATATTCTATAATCAAATAATCAAGTAAGAATATATATATATATATATATATTAACACCATAAATCTTTTACAGTTAGATATTTGACTTATTAATAAGTATATTAATAATCTACTTGAAGATTTATATTTTTCAAATAATTTTTTTCGATTCAGTCCTTCAACATCTTAATTTAGTTCAATTTAATCCTTGTATTATATATTTTTATTCACCTTAATCCCTATGATATGGTAGAATATTTATTTTTTAGAAAATTTTTTGATTTGCCATGTGGCACTGATATGTCAACATGTCGATGCCACATCAGCACTACCATGTCATCATATAGTGCCACATTGCATTGCCACGCCATTGCTTGGTGACACATGATATTGTCACGTCATCATCTCAATGCCTCATCATCTCAATGCCACATCATTAAAGGTGACACGTCAATGCTGATGCCATCACTAACGTCAGTGATGTCATCTTTTAATTGTAAAATTAGATGCCATTAGGGAGAAAGACTAAATTGATGTAATTTCTAAAATTAAAGGATTAAATTGTTTCGATTTTAAGTGTAAGGACTAAATTGAATAAAATTCATAAGTACAAGAACTTGAGGGATATTTTGACTATTTTTTTGCCCAATCTTCTTTTTTTTTTTCCTCCATTTTGTACTAATACTGGAATATATTTATAGCTAACATGTCGTATTTCTTCTTAAATTAGTTTCTTAAGTTTTGATTCAATCTCACTTAATCTCCAAATTTTCAATTTAATCTAGGATTAGAATTGGTGTAAACATATTCTTATGCTTTTATATATATATTTTTTATTTTTCTGATTTTCATATTTTCAAAAGCCTTTATGCTTCTACATGTAGAGCATATCAACTTAAAACCATCGTCTTAGCACGTGCATCGAAGTAACATTGCACTTCCCCTGACCCAATCGAACAAAGCTCTAGGCCCAAAAGTCAAAAAGGATACTAGTTTAGACCGTCACCACACCCAGACACACTCATAATCGAAACACAACCACAAGCTTGGCCTGTATGCGACCAGCCACCTGGGCATACCATACAATCAAGACACCACCACAGAATTGGCATGTAACACACAATACACTTAAACACGTTCACAGACCCAAGTAGCTTTGTAACACTCAGTAGATCACAAACAAAGGACTGGCTTCACGATAGTAACCTGGCCATAGTCGATACACACACCATCCACTAGACAACTTCGCACAGCTCACAAACAAAGCCCTCCTTGGACCCTTGAGATGGCAATTTTTGCTTCCAACCTTGAAACTTACAAATAATTCTATCCCCTATATATCCTATTGCCTCATATTTAGTCATCCGCCAAAAGGAAGGTGTACCCAAGTAAGTTCCAGGGTTTCTAGCTTTTGGAATATGCACATGACTCACTAATTCCAGTTTGACATGTTGTGGTACATTGGAACTTAAAATAACTTGTAAATTAAGCATCGGTCTGGCTAGAAGCACTGCAATAGTCCTGCAATATGCTAAACATCGTCTGACAATTATTAGGGTTAGTTGAAATAAAAAACAAGGAATCATCTGCAAAAAAAAAACAGATGGGATAGCACAAGACAGTTTTTGCCAAATTTGATGTCAATAAGTGACCCAGACTCAATGGCAGCCTTAATCATTCTAGACAAAACATGAAGGAATAACCCTGCCAGTAGGCTTACCATTAATTAAAAGTCCATATAGAAGGGTAGAGATGCATTATATCGGGCATCCTATCCACTTGCCATCAAACCCTAGTTTAATTAAGATAGCTTCGAGGAAATCCCATTCTGCCCTATCAAATGCTTTATTCAAATCAATTTTTGTCTTTTTTCATACCTTCTTCCCTTCTTCTTCTTTATTTTCGAATGATGAAAAGTCTCACCTGCAACCAGAATGTTATCTTGTATTTGTCTACCTTCAATAAAAGCCCCCTGATTTTCGGTATCTAAGCCACTCATTAATGATTTTAGTCTTTTAACCATCACCTTTGAAATTATCTTAAGCAAAATTACACAAGCATGTAGGCCTGAATGAAATTCTTCTGCAGGATTTCTTATCTTTGGAATCATTACAATATATATTCTATTCCTTTCTCTCAGCATATGTCCATGTTGGAAAAAGCTTTGTGTTGCTTGAAAAACAGTATCTTTATAACTTCCAAATATTGTTGACAAAAAAAATACTCCATTCCATCCATCTGGCCCAGGGGCCTTTAAAGACCCAAGCTGGAAGGCAGCCTGCAGAACCTCTTCCTCAGAAATATTCTCTTCTAACACCCTATTCAATTTTTTTTGAAGGATGTAATATGATATCATTAATGATCAGGTGAAAAATTGTCACACCTTCACATTTAAAATATGCATAATTTTTAGGATTATGCACATAGACAGGAATGTCATACTCACCAAATTATACTGCAGTTCCATGCTGAACAAAAAATTACAGCACCTCCCCTGTAGTTAAACCACCTCACAGACCTATCTCAGCACAAAACCACTGCCAGACATCCTATTCATGTCTTCAATAATTAATTTATGCAGTCTAATGCATTGCCCCACTCTCTATTCCTGTTAGATGAAAAAGGATAAGTATAGAAAGTTTTAAATTTTGACAAAATGGCACTTTCTTTCCTTTATCCAGTTGCCATCGATTCTTTTAACCTCAAAATTTTATTCCTTTGTCTTCTCTGTAATGTAACCTCGTGAAGAAACTTAATATTCTGATCTCCAAACTTCAGCCATTTGGTGTATATTATCCTTGAGCTTTGATGCCAATATTTCTCTTGCCTTGCCCAAATTTCCTGTATATTTTTAAATAAGCCCATGTGCCTCAAGGCAACTCTATTCTATTGCCATTTTTCCTTGAATTTCAGCTGTCTGCCTTAATTAGCATAGGATCTATAAGCTTCCCATTGTTTGGAAATGTATTTTTACTCCATTCAATTAGAATCTGTCTACACCTGTTCAATTTTTCCACCAATTTAAACGCATTTGACCCCTGAAATTGAGTATCCTATTCTTGCCTTATTACCTTCTCATATTCTATGTTTTCTACCCACGTATTCTCAAACCAAAACATTTCAAGGGCTTTCGTATCACGTGTGCATGTATTAATAACTATAGGGAAATGGTTTGACCCTATAATAGGCAAATTTAGGACTAGAGATATAGGAAAGCTCTTCATCAATTCGATATTCACTAAAATCCTATCCAATCTTTCCTTAATCAATCCCTCTTCTTTGCCCTGTAAACTACAGCCTTTTATAGCTAAAATCGATAAGTCCACAGTCACTGACCAATTGTCTGTAACCTTTTTATCTTTTTCAGTTCCTTATGTTTCCTTCCATCCTTTTCATGTAGATAAAAATGTCATTGAAATCACCTGCGTCCATTAGAAGTAAAAAACTTGTAAAATAAATTTTCAAATTTTAATCGAAATACTCTAATTTATGATACACCAACAGTGACTTGGGTTGCTATTATTATTTGAGTAGACAATGCACCAGGAATATTGAAATATTTGACTCTGTTTTTTCCAGAAATTATAAGTAGGGAATAGTACTGAGACTGATAATCAGCTTGGACCAATCAGTTAAAGATTTGTAATTGAGATAATTATATATCTCTATGTACTTTTGTGATTAAAAGTAATTCATATTTTTTTTAACATTATATCTATAATTAAATTTATCGAGGGACTTCTAATTCCATAACCCTAATCATCGATAGTGTAGTTGGGTCAATCAATGATGGACCTCGGACATCAATATAATTGTGCAATCGCATACAAAATCCCTGTCGTTTTCAACATTTATCGTTCAAGGACAAAGCAAAAAAGGGCAAAAAGAAAAATAAGGAAGATTGCCACATAATTTTATTTAATTATTTCTGAAAGACTAAACTGGATTGGAATCCAGCGTCTTAAAGAGTACATTTATTTAAGCTGGATTAACTCCTGCCACATCATCTAAACTCTTATTAATTAAGAAGATGACACTAAGCCATTCCCCGTGGTAGAATATTTGATAGAAGCACCATACCCAGTTTGCCGATCAAAATATCGATTCCAAAGCATTACGCCTCCATACTTTGCTGTCTCTTCTATCGCCGGCAGGACCTGAGAATTTAGAACCTCCACTGGAATATACCCTCCAGAATAAGCCGCACTCACAGACGCCGGTAACCCCAAAAATAGAGACTTTGCGTTTACCGAGGCGGTCCAATGATTCCATGAGTTTAAAAGGTTGCCGACGTAACCGTTACCGTATTGGCATAGAGGATTATTATAAAATTGAACCCAAACGGCGTCAAAGAGGCCGGAATCAATGGCATTCCCCAAATAATAATCAGGGTATGGACATTGAGGAGCTGCAGATAAGAAGAGGCTTTCATTTTTCTGTTTTAGGAAGCGGGCAAGATCATCGTAGTACAAATTCGATCCCCCTTCTATATCAAAGTCAATACCATCCAACGTGGCATCACCTAGTGGACCAGCAGATGTTCTTCCTCCCAAAAATGTGTTCCATAAATAATCTGCTACACTTTGGGCATCATCTTTAGAAGTTAGATAGTAATTACCCAATGCACCACCAAGTGAGAGCAATACCTTGATTTTTTGTTCCTGGCAATATCTTATTTCTTCTCCGAATTTGACGCATGTGCCGCTCTGTGGGTCACAGTGACCGGCAAGGTTCATAGACGGGGTTTGGCCGCCACCAAAAGTGTTGAGGAAAGCTATCATTATGATGTTATATGTTCCGGTGGCACATGCTTCCTGCAGGGTTCCCTCAAAACCATTTTGACCCCAGTAGGTGGAAATGACAGTGGCATAAGAGGTTGTGCTTAGCGCTACAGCAACGAGGAAGATGAGCAAAGCTATGGTTTGTGATTTCCTAGCCATTTTTGCAAACATAGGAAGGGAGGGTCTGAAATTTCAGGGGGTGGTGTGATCTGACCATGCTAACTCTTGCTACATCTTATAGGCATTCCGGAGGCTGATGACGACAAATGAAAATTATTTGATTCAAGCTATGAATTTTCTTTTCTTTATATTTTTTTTAAAAGGTAATATCGTACGCACGTGGCTATTTCATGAACTCTTAATAATTAACATATGTGGCCATTAGTCCTTGCCTAGTAAGTTGTGCTGAAATTTCACTGTCTCCATGAAACAGAGCTATAATTGCACACATCGCAGTGTACGTAGGAAGCAGCGAAATCTTTCTAACGTCAATTCAGAAATAAAGTTAAACGGAAAGGTTTAACGGACGTTTGAAGAGAGGGCCCAAGGAACATTAATTACCTAGACAACAAGACCCATCATGTAAATACCGCTAACTCCTTTCACTCATGCATTTGGCGCTTCAACATCTTCATTATTGAAAAGATAAATTAGGACAAAATTTTCACTTATTAATCAGGACCCTTTTTAATTAATTAATTTTAGGGATGTCGGATACGCTACCTGTTAATTTGAAGGCTTCGTAACCATTTTATTATAAAATACTTGAATTTTGTAAGAATTCGATTAAAGTTATGAATTGTTAGTAGAATTTGTATTTGAAAATTTTAGATATTTTTCGTTAGATATCAATTAAAATAAATTTAAAATTAACTTTTATGCATATGATTAATGAAAATTAAGGGAATAAATTAAAATTAATTTATAAAAATTAAATAAAATTTAAAATATATTTAAAATAATTAATATATTTTAGTAAATATTACATTAATTATGAAAAATTTACAAACAAAAAAAATATATAATTAAAAAATATTATTTAATTTGATTTAAGTAGTAAGTATGTTAAGATTACTACTCGAACTAATGATGAATAATAGTTTTATCATTTAAATTTTACTCGCACCTGATTGAAAAATATTTTAATTTTATTTAATTGAATCGAAAATCTATTTACAAAGTATCCATTGACACATCTAATTAATTTTTATTTAACTTATGGACAGAAACACCAACATATTATCTACCAAATCTAGTTTTTTTTTGTTTTCTAAAAGAAAATCATCAAAATAAAAATATTAATTGAATGTACTTAAATTGTTCCTTTATTTTGGGGCGGAAGTCCTTAAATTAAATAGTTTAAAATGGCCTTTACGATATGTAATACAACGTTACTAACAAAAATATTGCTAGCTAGTAGCTAGGTTCTACTATAATAATTTATATCATCTTTCATTTTCCTCCAAAGTTATTATACATATATATATATATACACACACACATTTGCATTACATAACATACAAAAAAAAAAACAAATGAAGTTCAATATAAATAGATTCCAATAGAGAAAAGGGTGCCACCAAATTACAAAATCTTATATAAGTTTGAGAAATATCAAATTAATATATTGTAAATAAAAAATTAATAATCATTTGTGTCCCTGGCCTTCTTTGTTAGGTTCTAATTCCAATGGATATCGTCTGAATTACAAATTTTTTATTACATATCTTACAATTATCCGATCACGATTATAATAGAATAACATCACTCTACAAGTAACGTCCAGCTCCAACCCAATCAATCAAATGAGTATGTTAACGCTATGGCTTATACTTGCTTCTTTAATTTGTTGCCAGTTCCCACCTGCTGCAGCAGGAAATGCGAATGTTAACGCCATCGCTTATGCTCGCTTCTTTAATTTTGTTGCCAGTTCCCACCTGCTGCAGCAGGAAATGACTATGTTAACGCTATCGCTTATGCTCGCTTCTTTAATATGTTGCCAGTTCGCACATGCCGCAGCAGGAGATGTTTTGGTACTCACATTATCAGTGCTGGCAAAGTGACACGTTTTTTTTTTCTCTGTTTATCTGACAAGTGACTCTTCCTTGGGACGCCCCACCACTGATCCTGCTCCTGTAGAAGCATTACTTTCTTTAATGGGTAATTCAATTTTTAGAAATGGACATTCAACTAAAACTCTTAAAGCTGTTAACAAATTTCAAACAAAAAAAATTAAAATGCCCATCAGATAAAAACACCAAAACTTGACTTAATAGGCCAGAGACCTGATTTTTAGTTTTAGTTTCTTTCTTCTTCTTTAATGATTCAGCTGCTCAATACGAAAACTCTTTGGTGTGTGATTATGGGTAGATCCACGTTGAACGGAGCGACAACACATGATGGCATTCACTTCTTAATATGTTTTAATTTTTATATTATTTATTTAAGATTAACGTAATTAATATATTAATTAATTTTTTTATAATATTATAAAAAGTGAAGTCAAAAATTTTAAATTAAAGTGATTTTTCAAAAAATAATTTATACATTAATATTTAAATACTATAAAAAAGATAATTTTTTTTATAATTTAAAATTTAATTAAAAAGGTCAAACTCTAAGTTACTCTTTTTATTTAAAAATTCAACTTTTTCCTCTTATCGATCATTGACTATGGTTTTTATTCTCTTAAAATAACTCATCTAGATTTTAATTGAAAGTAATTTTTAATTTTAATTAAATTTTTAAATACTTCATTTCTAAATTTTTTTTGATTAATTTGATAATTTGAGTTTATAATTATAATTTAGTTAATAAAAAATAATATTACATGTCAAATAATATCTTGAAATTGTGATTTTTTTATTTTATATATATTATTTGAGTATTTAATTTTTATATTTAAGTTTATGTAGTCTGTGGATGATTGTATTTAATTTCGATCAATAAATAAAAAATTATTATATTGTTAATTATTGAATCTAATAATTTGTTATATAAAATTATATTTTATTTCATTTTAATATTTTAATTTACACTAATGAATAATATTTTTGAACAAGTTTTAAATTTTATGTAAATAAATCATGAAAAGATATTTAAAAAAAATTATCTTATAAGATTCAAATTTTAAACAATAACAATAAAATTCTATTAATGATAATACTGTATAATATTCTTCTAAGTAAAGTGATTTTGAATTTGATCTAAATACTCTCCTAACAGATCCTAAATCGAAAAAAAAATTTTCAAAATATCATGACACCATCCAAAAATATTTTTGGATTCGCACCTATGTGATTGGAGTGATATCTTGGACATGAGTTTTTGTAGAGTTGATATCAACCAAATGTTTGCTATTGACTGATGGTTTAATTTGTACAGTAGTGTTAGTGGCTGCTTTGTGACAGTCTTGTTTCGTTAAGTCTTGTTCAATTCTGGTTGGGTTTGGGGCTAGTTTTTGTTAATTATGAACCTAGATAAAAGGGTTATGTTTTGGTGTAGTATGGCTTTAATCAGACAGTCAGAACAAAGCCTACGACAGCACCCTGTAATTCGGTTTGATGAAAGAAATTATTCTCGGCAAATGTTTCCTAGTACGGCTTCCAAGTGTCAAACAAATGTGTTTTTTTTTCTTCAATTAAATCTAGTCATTTTGTTCAATAGTAGAAACTGATACACAATTTCTAGGATAAAACCAAGAAGGAACAAAGCCGACCAGCTAGACAAAATAGCAACCCAGCCAGCGACATGAACAGACCAGAACACACGGCCGAACTTGGTTATCAGCAACATAACCAGACTTCGACTCACGCTTACAAACGAAAGACAAAAACAGATTTAATCCACACCAGAAAAATAGACCCCCTTCCTGTTATACACAAGAACAACGCTGGAAAAGCAGCAGACTATAGAACATAACACCCAACAGATCGCAATAGCATATGGGGTTCTTTAAATAGAATAAATATTGAGCTTGAGTCTGAAGAATCAGGAAGCAGGGGGCAGACTTGGACAAAATAGTCGAGCTGGGAAGACAGCTACAGGCAGAAGACCCCAACGCACCGTTTCAATAATGTTGGGGAAGAAGAAAATAGAGAGGCCTAGATGGTCCGTTTCAAAATTGGCCAAAGTGCACCGTTTGGTTTTAAAATTTTAAAAGTTAGTTAAAGTATTTAATCATTAGTTAGTAAATTGTAAACAGTTTTCCCTTTTCTTGGATTAAGCATTGAACCTATGTATTTATACTCTGTAAATATTCCCTACTATTGCAATGAGAATATTTTCTATTCTCTCAATTCCTATGCATCGTCTCATGACCTTTGCTAACAATAAATATTGCAGCGAGATCTCCTAAAAAAATTGTTCAATGTAGTATTTAATCATGACTGTTTTTAATTAATTAATTTTAGATGTCCATGAATAGGGTACTTGTTAATTTCAAGACACCCTAACCTGATTTATATTATTTGATAGAATACATGAATTTTGTAAGTATCTAGTTAAATTTAAGAATTGTTATTAGAATTTGTATCTGAATACCTTTTAAATATATACTAAAGTAAATTTAAAATTAATTTTTAAATATATTATTAATAAAATTAAATGGATAAATTAAAATTAGTTCATAAGAAAATAAAATAAAACTTAAAATTATATTTAGAACAATCAATGAATTTTAGTAACTATTATATTAATTATAAGAAATTTATAAATAAAAAATAATATATAGTTAAAATTAATATTTATAGTCGAATTTATGTAGTAAGTATCCTAACATTATACCCAAATTCTACTTCAACTTGTGATGAATAATATTTTTATTATCTAAATTTTATTTGAACTCATTTATAAAATATTTTAGTTTCACTTAATTGGATTGAATACCCATTTACAATGTATCCATCGATATTTATAATTAATTTTCATTTAACTTATTGAAAAAAACATTGACATATTATCTAGCAAATCAAGATATTTTTTTTAACTCCTTGAATTACTACACACCCAATATGCCTTTTTGATCAAAGATCAATGCATTCGCACTTTTTTTTTTTTACACTCCAACTTCTTAAATTTAAAATGATATATGAAAAATAATGAAGACATAATGTGTAAATAAATTCTTAAACTATTTTAAAAATTTTAAATAAATTTATATTACATTTAATTAAATTTTCAAATTTTTATTTTATATCAAATAAGCTTTTAATAATT